AACTGGGACTACAGGCGCCTGCCACCACGCCTGTCTAATTTTTTGTATTTTATTTAGTAGTAACACGGTTTCACCATGTTAGCCAGGATGGTCTCGATCTCCTGACCTGGTGATCCTCCCGCCTCGGCCTCCCAAAGTGCTGGGATTACAGGGTGAGCCACCGCGCCCGGCCGCTCTGAGCTTCTACCGACTGTGCCAGGTTCCTCCAGAAGACCACGAGGCTCCCTCCTCCCTGGGGTCCCCAGCTTTGGCAGGCCAGGAGTGGGTGTTATCAGCCTTTTAAAGCTTTGGGACTTAATTTTGGAGGCAGCCTGGGTCCAATGATGGGTCAGTGTGGGGGTACAAAGGTCCAGCTCCTGCTCCTCTGTGGAGCTGCTCTGAAGGGGCTGTTCCCAGGGGGTTGCCTCTGTGTCACCGAGCATTTCTCCCTTGGCTCAGTCCTGCTGCTCTTGGTGGCTCACAGATGTTGCTCCTGAGAGGAACCCCCACCCTCAGTGCTCCTGTCTGCAAACCTCAATGTCCAGCATCTGTTCCCCTAACCTAGGGTGGTCCTGGGAAGCAGACACACATAGGATTTGGGGCTAGACTAACTACTGGCAGTCACTGGCTGTGGTCCCTGTCGCTGTGGCTAGTGCAGAAGTGACAGCCCTGCAGTGTCAGGGACCCTCTCCCCGTGGTGCCCCAGGTGCTGTATCGGGTAGGGGAGGAAGTGCACTGGTTGGTGCCTTATCTCAGAAGCACGAGAGGCGGAGCAATGCAGGAATCACAGAACCATGGATCAGATGGCTGTTCTCGGTGCTACAAATTTCTGGAGAAAGATGATGGGAGCCCAGCTTGACTCGTCTCCACTCAAGGCCTGGTGTGGGGGGCAGTGGGCCTGCTTGGCAGCCTGTCCTGAGAGTCTCATCCCCTACAATTGGAGGCAGGGAAAGGTGGAGGTCCAGCCCAGGGCTTAATTCTAAGGGCAGCATAGCTCCGGAGGTGATGGGACCCTCAGCCTTGGCAAGGCTGCCATGCCAGCCTCAGGCCCCCATGGCGGGCCCCTTTAGGAGAGAAGAACTTATTCCTCAAACTGCCATATGAGCTGCCCTCGATGGTTCCCAGCTGCCAGCCTCTTCTGATGCTGCCTCACTCCAGGTCACTCCCTGTCCCAGGCCAGCTGCTTCCAGTGACTGGTCCACATGTGCTTGCAAAGGCCCAGGGCCCTTGACCCTGGGGTCAGCTGAGCCACCATTGAGACTGTCTCGGCTAGCAGCCTCTCTGCCCTCTTCTGTTTTCATCTTTTCTTCCCCATCTGTGGTCCCAGAGCCCTTCCAACAAGCCTCTCTGGGTACTTCTCCACCTTAGAGTCTGCTTTCTAGAGAACCCCACCTGTGATGACATGCTCAGAGGTTGGGGCTCTCCCATACCTTCTGGAAGCCTCTGGGCCTACAGGAGGGGCTTGCTCCTCCACATCAGAGACAGGCACTTCCTTGTGTATGAGTTCTCTGGGACTGCTGAGTCTAAGTGCCATAGGTGGGGGCAGCTTAAACAACATTCATTTTCTCACAGTTCTGGAGGCTGGGAGTCCAATATTCAGGTGCCAACATCTGCTGAGGGCCCTCATGGTGAAAGCAGAAGGGCAGGAGAGCCCACACATGCAAGAGAAACAGGGGCTTAATTCTTTCTTTATAAGGGGTCCTTTTCCAAGGTAAATAACCCACTTTCCCAGTAAGGACAGTAATCCATTCATGAGCCCTCCTGACCTAGTCACTTCTTAAAGGCCCCACCTCTCAGCACTGTCACACTGGGGATTAAATTTCCAACAGATGAATTTTGGGGGACACATTGAAACCCTAGCAGGAAGCGTCATACCAGTCTGTGCCTGCATCTTCTTGTGGTATTCTACTTCTATGCATGTCTGTCACCGAATGTTTTACAAGGACATCAATTACATTGGCTGAGGGCCCACCCTAATGACCTTCTTTTAACTTGATTACCTCTATAAAGACCCCATCTCCAAATAAGACCACATTCTCATGTGCTGAGGGTTCGGACTTCAACATATCTTTGTTGGGGTCGCAGTCAACCCATGACACCTTGTTGGAAGATGATCCACAGGTTTGCTTTGCAAGGAGCATGCATGGCCCTCTAGGGAGGGGCTACTCCATCTCTCCTGCTGGTGACCAACGTCAAACAATGAGCTCTGCTGAGAGAGGGAGGCCAGCATGCCCCGACGGCTCTGCAGGATCTGAAGACCATGCACCAGCAGGAGGCAGGGATATGTGTGTGCCTGGACCACAGCGTGCTGGATCCAGGCAGGGGAGTAGAACATAAATGTTGGGTAAGAAAGAATTTATCCAAAAGGTAGAGGTGTCGTGGAATACAAAGGTTTAACACCAGGCAAGAGCCCTGGGAGGCAGGGCTAACTTGTTCCTAGGATGGTGGGGCAGACAGAGTAATGCCCTGAAGATGTCCACATCCCAATCCCAATTCCTGCAACCCATGAGTATGTTACCTTTTACGGAAAAAGGGACTCTGTGCTTGTGATTAAGGTTGAGGACCTCAGGTTGGGGGGTATCCTGGATTTTCCAGATGGGTCTAATGTCAGCATAGAGAGTCTTCTAGATGCAGAAACCAGAGGGGTGGAGCATGAGAAAGGCTGGACTTGTGCTTCTTGCTTTGAAGATGGAGCAAGGAGGCCAGTAGCCAAGGAATGCAGAAACCTCTAGAAACTGAAAAGGCAAGGAAACAGATTCTCCCCTGAAGACTCCAGAGGGAATAAAGCCCTGCAGATGCCTTGATTTTAGACTTCTGACCCTGGGATGTTCTGGCCTCCCAGAACTGTCAGATAATCCATTTGTGCTGTGGTGGCGATTTGTTGCAGCGGTGACAGAAAACTCATCTAAGTGGCTCTAAGAAACTTGGAAACTGGATGCTCACCCCCGTAGAATAGAATGGCCAGGACAGATGGCGGGAGAGGGAGTAGGAGCTCAGGGACAGGGGCGTGCTCGAGTGGCCATGCTACAAAGGCTGCAGCAACCACCGAGGCCCCATTCCTGGGTGGCTGCGGGTGGCTGCAGAGGAGTCTCCATTTACCAGAGCAAGAAAGTTGCACTGGGGAGGGGGCAGAATCACTGAGAAGCTCAGTGGGATGATGGTCGGAGCTGCCATCACAGGACTAGGTGCCCCGAGAACAATGCGGCTGGTGGGATCCCCAGATAAGACAGACCGGGGGTGCCACCTAATCGTCGGGAGCAAGGCGAGCTCGGGTATCCCAAAGAGCAGCAAAGTCAAAGAAGGAGCCAGCGTATCCTGACCAACAGAAAGCGGAGGAGGTGGACAACAGGACTGGGCACCCCTGGAGGAAAGGCAGAGGCATTGCTCACTCTGGTGCACTTGACACCATCATAGGACGGGAAGGGGAACCGTCCCAAGGGCAGCCTGACATGAGATGTCAAGACACTTGGCCCAATTTCTGGACCTAAGCGAGGTTTCAGACTCAGAACAAAATTAACTTGCAAATTCTAATATTTTTATAGAGTATCTTGAGATTCCTAGGTGTAGAATCATATTATCCTCCAGTAAAGATAGTTTTGCCTCTTTGTTTCCATAGTTATACTGCTTATTTTATTTTCTTGTCTTGGTTCTTTAGGTAGAATTGCCCCCAAAATGGTCAATAATAGTTGCAACAGTGAGCATTCCTGTGTCGTTCCTGATTTGAATGGGTGCAGATTTATAATGTGGTTTAAGGTCGTCTTGACCACATTTAGGTAGTTTTATTTTACATAGAGGTGTTTTTTTTTTTTATTTTTTTATTTTTTTTATTTTTTTTTATTCCTTGATACGAAAAGGTGGGTTTGTCTCCTTTATTTGTTGATGTAGCATATCATTGATAGATTTCCTAAAGCAAAGCTATTCTCTCATTTGTGGACTAAAGTCTACCCATTCTTGTTTTCTTACTTTCTTAATACATTGGGTTGTGTTCAATGTCCCAATATTTTATTTGAAAATGTTCTGCATCCATATTTGTAGATGAAATTTCCTATGTCTTTACACCACAGTTTTGATAAGATTTTGGTATTAATGTAATGTTGGCTTTTAAAAGTGAATTTTGGAGTTTTCCACATTTTCTGTAGATTGGAATTTCTTCAATAAAGAGATGGTTAATTTTATGTGTTAACTTGGCTGGGCCAAGGTGCCAGGGATGTGGTCAAACATTATTCTGGATGGTTCTGTGGGGGTAGTCTTGGACAAGGTTAACATTTAAGTGGTGAACTTTGAGTAAAGCAGATTGTCCTCCACAATGTGGGTGGGTGTCTTAGTTGGTTTTCTATTGCTAAAACTGAATACCAGAGACTGGGTAATCTATAAAGGAAAGACGTTTATTTATCACAGTTTCTGGAGGCTGGGAAATCCAAGGTCAAGGTGCTGCATCTGGTGAGGGCCTTCTTGCTGGTGGAAACTCCCTGTAGAGTCCCAGGGTGGGGCAGGGCATCCATGGTGGGGAGGCTGAGTGTGCCAGCTCATCTCTCTTTCTCTTCTCATAAAGCCATCAGTACCAGTCCTGGGACAACCCATTAATCCATTAGGCCATTAATCCATGAAAAGATTCATCTATTCATAAGGACAGGACCAAATCACCTCCTGAAGGCCCCACTGCCACATTGGGGATTAAGTTTCTACATGAATTTCAGAAGAGACAAACATTCAAACTATAGCAGTGACCCCATCCAACCAGTTGAAGGCCTGAATAGAAACAAAGGCTGACCCCACCTCCCAATCCCCCTCCCCCACCAGTAAGAGGGAATTCTGCAGCCACAGCGTTGAGCCACAACATCGACTTTTCCTGGGTCTCCAGCCTGCTGGCCCACCTGCAGATTTGAGACTTACCAGTCTACAAAATCACATGAGCCAATTCGTTAAAATAAATCTCTTTCTTTCTCTCTTTCTCCATCTTACTGGTTCTGTGTCTCTGGAGAACCCTGACTAATACAAACAAGAGAAGTCTTTGATTTTTTAAGGTTAAATAGAACTAATCACAGACATGCCAGGGTCTTACACCTTTGACCTTTGAAAATAGCAGATGTTTAATCATCTTTCCAACCTAGTCTGCAGTTTCCAGTGCTGGCGGTTCCCTGTCAGCTGTCGTGGTCTCCTTCATGTTGGCCAAAGCCTAGAAGTGTAACACCCCCAGATGTGTTCAAATTGGTCAAACTGCTGGATAATGAGTGGATGGGACTTCCACGCCTGCCCAAGTCAGGGGAGGGGGTGAATTTCCTGAGTGGGCTCCCTGGGGATACTCCAAGAGTGGTGAAAACCCTGAGTGGATTCTCCAAGAGAAGAGTGACCATTGCCGACCTCGTGGCTGGCCTTCAAGGCCCGATTTCAAAGTGATTGCAAAATGAAATGCAATCCACAGAAGAGAAGAAATTGCAAATGGTAGCAAGCGTAAGAAGATATGCTCAGCCTCATGATGCCAAAGCAAGCCCAAGTTTACACAGCAACGAGCACATTCTGTGAAAACTGGCAGGATTTGAATACAACTGCTGTTTCTCAGCCGTGGAGGGGGAGGGGTCTACAACCCAGATGTGAGAGTAAATTTGAACAACATTTTTAAAGCCAGTTTGGCAATTTTTGTCAACATTTTAAATGTGCATACCCCATGACCCAGCAATTCCTCTTCTAAGAATTTCTCTTATAAAAATGCCTGTGCAAGCTCACAAATACATGTGTACAACGATGTTCACATGACAGCATTTGAGGCAGGAAAAACTGGAGACACAAAACATCCACCTTAAGAGGAATAGTTATGCAAATTGTGGAATCATCATTATAATGGAGTTATGCAGTTATTAAAAAGAACGAAATAGGTGTATGTGTAGGCAGGGAATAATCTCCTTGACATTTTGTTGAATAAAAGAATCAGCCTTCAAAAACTATGTATAGTATGAAACATTTTTGTTAATTGTGTGTGTGTGTGTGCTTATGTGCTTAGCAAAATGTCTAGAAAAATAGATGCCAGGTTATTAAAGTGGTCACCCCTGGTAGTGTGATGGGGTAGGGGAGGGGGATGAGGAGAAGGCTTTCTATTTTATTGTATACATATCTCTATTACTTGACTTAAGAAATGAGCATATATTACTTAGTCAATAAAACAAAAAGATTTTTTAGTGCTTGCAGAAAAAATGCTGATGTTACTTTAAACCAGGAGGAGCAATGTTAGGGCTTCCTCACTCTGGGAATTGGACTAAAGGTGACTTAGTTTTAAAGGCAACTAGAAAAGGCATTAATTCTATTAATTAATGCATCAGCGGTTTCCATCTCAGCAAAGATGTCTTAATGAGGCGCTCGGGGCACCCATTATTTATCTTACAAATGCAGCTCCAGGGTCCTGACCGTGCCAGGCAGTGTAACACACATCCCCGCGGAGGGCTGGCGCTGCAGAAGCTCACGGTCCACCCCCTCCTGCCCACACCCGGCCTCACCCTCCCCTTCTCTTCGAGGATGACCTCTGTCCCCGTCCCACGGACCCCGACTCCTCCACGATCTGGCCCCTCCCCCCATACGTTGCATTCCAGGACTCCCGCAAAGGAATCACTTCAGCCTGGACTGCAAACCGCACTCCTACACCTCACCGTGGGCACCTTGGGGGTGTCCTCCAACATCCCCGCCCCGCCCTCTCTTTCCTGGCCTCCTTTCTTTCCAGCTGATGAGGAACTGGGGACCCAGAGTCGGCCTGTGTGAGGCCCGTACAGGTGGCTCCCGCAGTCTTTAGAGGCACAGGGTCGGTCTCCCGAGGCCGACCTGGTAAAATTCCTGCATCTCCCGCAGGCCGCCCTTCTCCGGCTTGGCCGGGACCGGCCTCTGGACCCCGGGCTCCTAGCCCGCGCGCACCAGGAGCTGTCCGCGGTGCTGACCGCAGGCGCTTCCCGCGCTCGGCCGATGCGCACGCGTCCCGGGAGGGGCTCGCGGGACCCGCCGGCGCCGCCACTGCGCAGCCTCCCGCGGGCTCCCCGCCCGGCGCAGCCTCCCGCGGCCTCCCCGCCGCCGCTCTCGCCTGGGCCGGCCATGGCGCTCAACAATTTCCTTTTCGCGCAGTGCGCCTGCTACTTCTTGGCCTTCCTGTTCAGCTTCGTGGTGGTGGTCCCGCTGTCCGAGAACGGCCACGACTTCCGCGGCCGCTGCCTGCTCTTCACCGAGGGCATGTGGCTGAGCGCCAACCTCACGGTGCAGGAGCGCGAGCGCTTCACGGTGCAGGAGTGGGGCCCACCGGCCGCCTGCCGCTTCAGCCTGCTCGCCAGCCTCCTGTCTCTGCTGCTGGCCGCCGCGCACGCCTGGCGCACGCTCTTCTTCCTCTGCAAGGGACACGAGGGGTAAGTGCGGGCCGCTCCCGGCGCGGCGCCCCTTCCATGCCCACAGCGCCCCCAGACCCGCCTCCCCAGGGGGTCGCGCGAGTCCCTCCGTCTCTCCGGTAGCTCCGAGGCCCGCAAATGTCAACAATTGGCCCTCACCCCCTCCATGCAGACCGCCCTTTGTCTACACACACATCTAGGGACCATGACGACCACTGGTCCTGCATACAAGGCCAGTGCCTCCCTTCCCCAAGTGCGCATCACCTCCCGCTTCCGGACATCTGCCCACTTGGGTTGCAGATGTTGCACCGTCATCACCGAGCAGGCCTGGACCTTCCTGGGCGGGCTCAGCCGGGCCACACTCGCCAGGACCGGCGACAGCTCCCAGCCCGGTCTAGGGCTTGCGCTGGGCTCTCCAGGTCCCAGTGACAAGGCGTACTGGGGAGCCCCACCCGGCACCATCGCCCCAGGGAAGGGACGGCAGACGGCTGTCTGGAGGGGAGCCACCCAGGCACACCTCGAGCTCAGGCCTTGGTTCATGGAGAGAGACGGCAGGGCGAGGGCTGTGCCTTGTGGGCTCAGCGCCTTCCTCATCCTGGCCTCCATTTTCCTCTTTCTCTTTCCTGCTCCGGCAGGATACTGGATACTGGAGCCTATACAACCTGGTTCACCTGGGGTGCGGTGACACCCTTAGCCAGTGGCGCCCTGGGGGCCCTCTGGGGGCCCACCCACTCCCTCTGTAGGGGCCCTTTGCGGGCTCACCCACTCCCTCTGCAGATGCTCTCTGTGAACCCTCCCCCCCCCCCCCCCCCCCCCCCCCCCCGCGCCCCCCCCCCCCCCCCCCGGCCCCCCCGCCCCCCCTGTGCTCCCACCTGCCCTCTGTGCGCCCGCCACCCGCCGCCTCTGTGCACCACCCCACCCCTGTGCGCCCACCGCCCCCTCTGTGCGCCCACCCGCCGCCTCTGTGCACCCGCCCCTCTGTGCTCCCACCCCTGCCCTCTGTCACCCGCCCGCCCCCACGTGCTCCCACCGCCCCTCTGTACCCACCCACCCCCTCTGTGCGCCCACCCGCCCCCTGTCGCCTGACCCAGTCCCCCCGTGGCCCACCCGTGCTCCCACCCGCCCCCTCTGTGCACCCACCCACCCCCTCTGTGCGCCCACCCGCCCCCCCTGTGCGCCCACCAGTCCCCCCGTGCGCCCACCCAACCCCTATGTGGCTGCCCTCTGTGGGTCCTCCCACTCCCCTGGTGGAGGCCTGCTGTGCCCAGGAGCAGCCCTAGATCCTGCAGAGGTTCCGGGAGAGCACTCATGAAACCCAGGCCCCTCCCAAACTCTGCCCCCGCCCCCATCCTTTGTTGTAGGTTTTCACTCCCTGCTCGCGGGTGGGAGATGAGAAGGACTCAGAGGGGTGCAGGTGGCAGGAGTGGGGAGGCCCTCCTGTTGCCCACCCCCTGTGAGCCCACCGCTTGGTTCTGGCTGAGAGAGGGGCCAGAGAGGGGAAGAAGAGGGGCTCCAGGGAGAAGGGAGGGAGCCAGGGCTATGCCGAGTGGGGCTGCAAAATCTGGAGGAGGGGTGAGAATCCCAGCGCCTGTGGGTAGGAGCGCCCTGGGGCTGCTGCAGCACAGTTCCACCAACTGGACTTAAACCCACTTGTCCCACCACCCGCTGCCTCTGTCCGCACAGGGCGTCTTCTCTCTGCTTCTCTGTCCTCCCTCTTTTTACAGGGATACCAGTCACTGGATTCAGGGCCCACTCTAAACTCAGGGAGATCGTATCCTGAAATCCAGAGCTTAATTACACCTGCAAAGATGCTGTTTTCAAATAAAGTCACAATCACGGGTACCAGGGGTAGGACTTGGGCATAACTTTTGGGGGACACCATTCAACCCACGACACTAAGGTTCTGGGTGGGGGTCAGTAGCAAGCTGGCTGTCAGCCTGGGAGGACCCAGGTACTGTTGGGCCATGGACCCAAATTGTGTGACTGGAGCCCTGCTCAAGGTGGGGTCAGGCCAGGCGCAGGGTGGTGTCCTGTCCATCTGCAGCCGTCCTCCTCCCCTCAGCCCCCTCCAGGGCTGGTGTCCCATGAAGAGGCTTGAGACATCATCTGCACCCATGTTGCCAAACCTGAGAGTTACCCAGTCTGGGCTGTGTGTGCAAGGCAGGCAGGTGGAAGTCTCCCTGAATGAGACATGGCGTGAAGAGGGAGTGGGACAGCCAGCGAGTAAGGTCAGCTTCCCAAGGCTTGAGGTCCCTTAGTCTCGGAAGCTGAGGGTGAAGCATGCAGGCCAGGTGGGGCCACAGTTGGTTCATTGCTCATGCACGTCTTCCCCGCCTCCTGGGTGTCCATCAGGGTGCCTGTGATCCAACTGGGGCTGAGAGGTGGTGGCTGTCTAGATAGGACCCAGCTATGTGGTTGGAGTGATGTGAGATTTCATAGGGGGTTCCACCAGAGGTGGGGGACAGGGAGAGGGGAGAAAAGAGCCCCAGAGCTTGCAAGACAGGAGTCCAGGTTGCACAGGGCATGGTCTATTTTGCACACACTGGGCAGCAGACCCAGGGACGCCATAACAGCAGCTCTGCCTCTCGCTGTCTCACGGAAGGTGTCTGTCTGTCAGCCCTGGCAAACTGCTGGCACCATCTCCTTCCAAAGGCAGAAGACAGGTTCCTGGGGAGTCTTCAGGCCTTCCCAGCACTCTTTGTGGCATTCCATCCTCCCACGGGTTGGAGCCGACTGGGATGCAGGCCGACTGTGCGGCCTCTGCCGCAGCCCTGCTGACCGGCCCGTATGGGATTTAGGAAGCCTTAGATGACCTGGTGTGCTCAAGGCCTGTGGGGGTTAGGGTGAGGGTTAGGGTTGTTGAGGGGGTCTACATTGTGGAGGCTCACCATGGCCTTGACCCTACTGGAGGTCAGGCCCGGGCAACTCCTGCTCTCAGGGAGGGGGCCTGTGGTGGAGCATTTCAGGTTCAGCCCCTTTGCTTCAGTTCAGGGGTTCACCAGTCCTCCCACCACTGACCTCTGCGCAGCCTGCTCTTTTCCAGGGACATGTGGTGCCCGTGTCCTTCTTGGACATCAGGAATTAGTGGCTCAGGTCACGTGGTCATGTGGCCACCTGTCCCCCACCTCATGCACCGCACAGTCCATTGGCAGATGGCTTGTGCGATGACATCTGTCCAAAGTGTCAGCCCTCCATTGAGTTCTGGTTGTAGGTGTAGGTTAACGCTCTCAAGAGCCATCTCAGGCCATAGGTTCCCACCCTAGGGGAGCCACGGCTGGGTGAAACCAAGGCAGGCATGCACCTTATTCATCTCTGTGTCCTTAGGGCTGAGCACAGGGGATGGTGTGTAGGAGTCACCAGATAAAGTTTGTTGAATGACTGACAGAAAGATGCCTGTGTCCTGAGGCCTGCTGCCTTGTGGTCACTCACCTGGCCCTGATACCTGAGCAGACTCAGTTGTCTGGCCAACAGGTCCACCCTTCAGACTTGCCATGTCAGGAAATTCTGGACCCCTGGGAAGACTGGGTCTGCAGGGCCCAGTGATAGAGCGGCCAATTCCAACTCAATTGGTGCTCCAGCTGCATAGACTAGGCGAGCAAGTCCAGGTCGGTAAAGGGGACTCAGGACCAGCCAAGGGGCTGAGACAGGCCTTTGTAGGGGGCTCCTGTGGTGGAAAAAGGCTCTCAGGGCCATCAACGGCCACTGGACATCCAGCCCATGGAGGAGCCCGCTGGCCCCATCAGACTCTGGCCGATAGAGGGCTGGGCCTGGTTAGGACGGCACATGCTCTAATCCTCTAAAGTGGACTCCACCTTCGGGGGCCACCCAGCTGCCCTCCCGCCAGTGCGAGCACAGGGCCTGTCTGAGGTCTGTTTGAGGGTCACACGGCAGGTCCAGAGCTTGTGGAGCAGAAGCCATGTCTCAGGTGCCAGCTTCCTCTTCCTACGGGGGTGTCTTTCGTGCAGAGTCCAGGCCCTGAGAGCTCGGCCCAGAAGTGTGAAGATTAGAGTCTGGGGGGGGGTAGCTTTTGCAGAGCGGTGTCATCGTGATGCTGCCTTATTGGCTGCTGACTGAATGAATGAATGAATGGAATGGCGCCTGTGCTTCAGGGGCGCTTGCCACTTCGGGGCAGAAGGGTTTGCTGCGGCAGCCATGGGCCTGGGGCGGCTGTGCTGGGAGGGAGCATTGAGGACGTGGGCTGGCAGCGGTTTGTGGTTGGCAGGCCAGAGGGGCACTGCGTTAAACTCATCTGCCTGCCCGGCTGAGCCTTCACATTGCTGGGCTTTCCAGGACAGTGGTCACCATGGAGATGGCACATCCTGGCAGCGCACCCTGAGCGGCAGCGAAGAGAGAGGGTTAACCCTGTGTGTGCCGGGCTCCTGTTCCTGACCACTGTCCTGGCCTGGCCTTGGTGAGGGAAGGGCTGGGTGGCCCTGTGACCTCTGGGGAGCTGGATCTGGGGAGGCTCTGGACACATCCAATTCTTCAACAACCTGGAGAGCCCGGGCAGGATCCCTGGAAACCGAGCAGAAAGGAATGAGTGGAGCAGACCGAGGCTGTCAGCCGGCAGCGGCCCTAGCCTGGGGTCCCTTCCCTATCTCGTGGGGAACTCCTCGATCTGGTCATGGGAGAAGACTCCAAAATCGGGCCCATTTCATAGGGATGTGGCTGGATGTCTGAAGTCTCCAGATAACTGGCTTTTCTGTCTGTTGGAGGTTGTGTTGTGGCCCATGCTCAGCGGTGGAAGGGGACAGTGGATCGCCTGGGCCCAGAGCCTCTGCCGTATCTCAGGTGCGCTGGGCCAGGTATTTGCAGGCACTGGGGTCTTTCAGGGAGACCTTGCCCTTAGGGAGCCCGGCCACTCAGGGAAGCTTAGGCCGTGCACGTGCCTGTCTAGAATTCGGTACACTATAGATGTGGAGGGTGCCGCCCCAGCCTCCCGAGGGGGATTGAGATGTGGCACTGGGTAACAGGCCCTAGCCTGACCTCACTGTCTGCACTGTGGTCAGCCTGGCCCTCCAGGGAGGTCTCTGGGATGGCCTGTCAGGGAAGTCTAGGAATGCCAGGTGCCGGAGGGTGCCCCTGCCGGACCAGGTCCCTGGGAGGACCACAGGAGGGCTGTCCGGCGGGTGGAGGGGCAGATGTGCCCTGCGGGAGCCTGGCTAGGGACTGTCCTCTGCCCCCACTCCAGCACCATCCAGTGGGCTGGGTCTGATGCCAAGCAGCTTCCTTGCCTCTGGCTGTGGAGCTGACCCTGGCCATGCCTCGCCACCACCTCCTCCTTGGCTGTGGTGGAGCAGCTGGTCCAAGGCTGCAGAGGTGGAGTGGGCTTACTGTGCCCCGCTCTGTGACTATAGGCCCCTGGCCCCTCATTTTCACCCCCAGGCCAGATGGATTTTGGGGTTCAGAACTGTGTTCTCAGGGTCCCAGCAGCAGCAGATGGCTCACTCGAGGAAGGGTAATTGAAGGAGGGCTGGTTGACAAGAGATGAAGTTGTGGGGATCCTGCAGTCAGTGGAGGTGGTGCTGTCCCCATCCCTGGCTAATGGGACCTGGACGGGTGGGTCACCTGGACAGCAGCAGTGACTTTCAGTGGAGGGACCTGGTAGCAAATTCCCACCTTGCTTCCCCACCCTCCCATCCCATTGCCCAAACCCAGCCGGAAGCCAGAGGGCACAGGGTCATTGCCATGGTCCGCACCTTTCAGCCTCCAGACAGAGAATGGAGAAGGAGACGCGCTGCGAAGAGCAGGCGGGAGACACTGGTACACGGTGATTCAGGCTTGGACTGGGCTGATGGAGCCAGTCCCATGTATGACAGCTCTGGGACTCACAGCACACTGGGCCAGAGAGGGACCGAGAATGACCCCGCACCCATCCTGGCAAACTTTTGCCACTGCTCTTTCTGTCGTCAGAGAGCTTTGGATGTGGCGCTGTGATGGGGGTTGTGGCTTGTCTACTGGCACACGGTACCCACCCTCCAGCCATCTTTGACTGTGAGACCTGGGCAGAGGCTCGATCACCCCCCACGCATAGGTGTATGAGTCCTGCTGGTCCTGCCCTCTTTGGTGTGGTTGTTGGGATCACAGCTCATGGCTTTAAGAGTGTCCCTGTGTCCTCTCCCCTTGTCTGGGACTCCTTGGGGTGACTCAAGCCCTCCCATTCCTGGGGGGTGGTTCTGCTGTCAGCCCAGCGGTCACCAAAACTGTGTGGCTGGGGCTGGAGCCAGTGGACAGGTTCCTTGGAGGCACCAGATGTTACAAAGTAGCCTGGTGCCACCTGCTCTGAGTTGGGTGCTGTGGCCTGGGCTTATCCTCAGCATGTTGGCTGGGGCACCTCCCGGGGCCAAGACTTCATCTTTTGTATCACTCTGCCCTCTGTGCCCAGCACAGGGCAAGCGGGTACTCAGAAAGTGCCTGCTGAACGAATGAATGAATGAACAGGCAGCGCGCTGACCTCCACGTTGCCTCATCAGCAGCTGCCGAGTTCGGATGATGGTGGCGTTGATGTTTTCTTGGCTGAGATTCCAGGGAGACCTTGTTTATTCAGTGATCTCTGTGAAGCTGTTTCGTGGGTCACCTACCTTAGATCCAGCGTGCTGACAGCACACAGGCAAACATCCAGCCTGCTTGTAGGTGACAGGCGGGAGCAGCCCCTTCTCAGCCGTGCTGCTCGTGCTGATGTCTGCCTGGGAGGAAGTCCCCCTCGGGGCTCCCACTGGAGGGACAGTCCCTATCCCTACCCCACGAGCCTCTGCGTGCATTCCAGGCTGAGCCCATGCCAGGCCCATTGGAAGGATTTTGAATCTTGTTGGAGCAATTCAGAGATGGTGGACGTTTGCATGCCAGGCAGGAGGGCTGGGTGGGGTGGGTGTCCCGACCACGTGCCCGGTATCCTCAGAAGAGGAAACGTGAGCCTCCTCTGAAAGCCATGGCCGTGTGCGCCCTGGCAGAGGCCTCAGACCCCTGGGGCAGTGTGGCCCAGCCCTAAGCGAGCTCCCGCCTCCTGTGCTCCCCATGCTCTGGCCCTGGTCAGATGGGCCCAATCACAGCCCGGCCTTTTAAGTTTAAATGTATAAACCAGAGTCAGCCCATCAAGCAAGTCCTATCAGGGATCCAGGCCACGCGCTGATGACCTGCAGGTGAATGGATGCTCTCAGCACCACAGGCTGGGGGCTTGTAAACAACAGGCATTTACTGCTCACAATTCTGGAGCCTGGAGGTCTGGGATCCAGGCTGGGATCCAGGCTGGGATCCAGGTTCGATGCCTGCTGAGGGCCCGTTCCTCTTGCTGTGTCCTTATCTGCTGGGAGCTCGGTGGGGTTTCTTCTGGGAGGGCACTCATTTCATTCATGAGGCTTCACCCTCATGACCTCCTCTCCTCCCAAAGACCCCACTTTCTAACCCCTCGGCGGACTGTAACATAAGGATTTGGGGGGACACAAGCACCTGGGCCAGAGCTGCTGGTGACTGCGTGTGGGCGGCTTTGGAAGAGTGTCATTCATTTCCACCCTGGGTGCAACCACTTTTATGAAATGATGGGGACCAGGGTTCCAGGTCCTGGGTCTTTGGGAAGGTGTGACCTGCAGCCCAGGGTGGGCACGTGGAGCTGCCCAAGGGACTGCAGGAACGGGGAGCAACCCCTCGAGGCCCCACAGGGCCCAACCCAGGAATCCTGAGGGTCTGGAGGTGCTGCTGGTGGGGGTTGCCCGGGAGGTGGCCTCCTGTTTCTGGCTGCAGCCTGGGGGCGGGGGTCTCCTGGGTGGTGGTGTCCAGTGAGCCTGCTCTTCCTGTCTCTGGCTGCAACTTGGTGGGCGTCTCCTGGGAGGTGGTGTCCTGTGAGCCTGCCCCTCCTATCTCTGGCTGCAGCTTGGTGGGGGGTCTCCCGGGAGGTGGCGTCCAGTGAGTCTGCCCCTCTTGTCTCTGGCTGCAGCTCCTTCTTCTCCGCCTTCCTGAACCTCCTGGTCAGCGCCTTCGTGGTCTTCCTGGTCTTCATTGCCAGCACCATCGTGAGTGTGGGCTTCACCATGTGGTGCGACACCATCACCGAGAAGGGCACCGTAGCCCACAGGTGCGCCTGCCCCACCTGCCTCGGCCTCAGCCTTGGCCCACCTCCCCTGAAAATCCCTTGACACCCTGCCCTGCTCTGGGTGATCTTCCCTCGTGAAGCCCATCCTGAGTCTGCGGTCCCTGGTCCCACTGTGCCCCTGCCTGTGTATACCTGGACAGGCCCTCTCCTGAGACCTGCCCCGCAACATTGATACCTTCCCGCTCTGGGAGCCGGGAGCATCACACGTCACACATGAGCGATCATCCCTAGGGCTGAATATGGCTGGGGGTGGCTCCGGTGATCAGAAACTCCGGCTGCCCTGTCCTTGCCACCAGGGCTTGCGTGACAGATCCCATGCAGCATGGCCCCAGGTCCTGGGAAGCTCGATGTGACCACACAGCTGGAGACCCTTGGGCTTCTGTCCTGTGCTGGCTGAATGCGAGAGCCCAGGGAGAGCATTAGGCTCAGGGCTTTGGTCCCCAGGGTGTGGGATTTGGAAGATGGTGGAGGGGACGGGGATGGTGAAGAACAGGAGCAGAGAAAGCTTCTGGTAGGGTGAAGGTCAGCTCCCAGGCAGGTTGGGGATGAAGGCCTTTGAGCCATGGTGGTCCCTCTGGGATCTTAGCAGGGGCATCATTTGGCTTGTGGGGGCCCCCAGAGTGGAGCACGGTGACTGCCTGCCCCCAACAGTGGGATGCCCAGCCCTGAGGGGCACCATCCAGTGCCCCAGGCCAAAACCCTGGAAGACAGGAACCCTCCAGAGTTTCCATGTTCTTCCTTTAAGCAAACCCAGACCTGAAACCGCAGCATCTGCAATAGATGGCAGCAGAGCCGAGGGGCTCCCTGCCTGTCTGTTCCGTGTCTCCACTCTGGGGTGCCTGGGGCACAAACCAGAGGAAAGCGTGAGCACCTGGGCATGTGGCCCTGCAGGGCCTCCTGTGCTGAGCTGTGCCCTGTGCCCCATTCTGCACTGTCCCAGCTCCGCCTGCTGGCTCTGGCCACCTGTTTCCCGAGAGCGTGGGCAACCCCTGGTATACAGGCAAAGTTTCCTTGGCCTCACGGACACCATTTCCAGCCCTTCAGCCCCTCCAGGGGGTGCGGGGGCTGCTGGGCTCCCTGTCTCTGGCCCCCTGCTTCTGTCAATGTGTCCTGGCTTTATGTTTTATGTTGGGGGTGTAGGACACCGGGAGCCCAGGCCTGGCTCACTCCCGGGCCCTCTGACGCCCACTGCCTCCACAGATGCCTCCGTGATGGGGGCAGAGCCTCTGGGCAGCATTGGTGGGGACGCCACCTCCATCTCTGTATGGCTGAGGCAGCCCTGCCTCTCCTGCCTCTGAGACCCTGTGACCCTCAGAGTGTGGAGCACAGGGGCAGAGGGTCCAGGAGAGCAGAGGCTGAGCTGGTGTCTTCTGGCCGTCCAGGGCCAGGATGGGGAGGGGCCTGGAGGTTTCCTTTCCCGAAGGCTGTACTGCTCCATGGAGGAGGCCTCGAGGCCGATCCCCCGTGGTGTCCTCGGAGACTCCCTGCTGCCCCCCAACCATTGCAGGGCAAAGTTCGTGCCTCTCTGGCCAGCGGCTCAGCCATGTCCTGCACTGGCTGTCCTGGTGGTCACCTTTCACCCTACGTCCTGCTGTTTTAGCTGTGAAGAGCTTCAGGACATCGACTTGGAGCTGGGTGTGGACAACTCCACCTTCTACGATCAGTTTGCAATTGCCCAGGTAGGGGCTCTGGGCAGGAAGGGAGGCTTGCAATGCTGGGAATGCTGGGAGGGGGGCATTTACTGCTGGACACTCGCTGAGCTCTCCCCCTATCCAGAGGAGGAGGCAGGCTCCTGTGTAGATAAGGTGGTTGGCAACGGGACCAGGCAGTGGGAGCACTCCGGAAGGCTTCCTGCAGGTGGGGGAGGGCTGGGCTTTTGTAGGTGGGTTTGGGGAGGAGATGGCCACAGTGAGTTAGAATCAGGAAGTGGCAAGGCCCTGGAGTCTGGAGTGAGAAGTGTTGGAGGAGGTGGTGTCAGAAACGAAACCAGGCATCAGATCCTGGGGGTCCAGTGCAGGGACGAGGGCCTTGGACTTTGGTGCCAGTGCGAGGTGAGCCTGTTCAGGTTAGTGCTGGAGGCTTAGGGATGTCCCCTAGCCAGGGGGACGCTGACACAGAGTCCAAGGATATCCCCTAGCCAGGGGGATGCTGACACGGAGTCCAAGGACATCCCCTAGCCAGGGGGACGCTGATACGGAGTCCAAGGACATCCCCTAGCCAGGGGGACGCTGACACGGAGTCCAAGGATGTCCCCTAGCCAGCAGGACGCTGACACGGAGTCCAAGGGATGTCCCCTAGCCAGGGGGACGCTGACACGGAGTCCAAGGGACGTCCCCTAGCCAGGGGATCCCCTTTGCTGGGGACGCCGAGGGAGAGTCTGCTGATGTCCCCAGCTGGCAGGACGCTGACACGTGGAGTCTGCTGGATGTCCCCAGCTAGACTGACACGGAGTTCAGTGACGTCCCCTGTGGCTTGGGTTGACGAGTCTGGGCGGACGCCCTCAGCGGGACGCTGATGGAGTTTCCAGGGATGCGGGGACGCTGACACACGGAGTTCAAGGGACGCCTCGGCTAGGGACAAGGGACGTCCCCTAGCCAGGGGGACGCTGACACGGAGTCCAAGGACATCCCCTCGCCAGGGGGATGCTGACATGGAGTCCAAGGGACGTCCCCTAGCCAGGGGGATGCTGACATGGAGTCCAAGGGACGTCCCCTAGCCAGGGGGATGCTGACACGGAGTCCAGGGACGTCCCCTAGCCAGGGGGACGCTGACACGGAGTCCAAGGAAGGATGCAGGGGATCCCACTTGGGAATTCAGAAGATTTGCCACCCTACCCTTGTATAAGCTGCGTCCCCCACCCCCTAGGAGACTTGGTGGGGGACCATGGTGGACCCCACTCTGAGGGACCCTATTTGCTGAAATGCAGACCTGTGGGGAGACATCAGTGGTCTGTGAGGGCCGGAGGGGGAACCCTGGAATTGGGTTTGCTCCTTGAAGTCTGCAGGTGTGCCCCAGACGGAGGCGACGCAGAGGAGGGGTGCCGGGTGGGGTTGGCTGAGACCAGACACCTGGCTCCTGCCAGCACTGATCAGGGCCCACTGGCTTCAGATCCACTTCCGGACCCCAGACTGGCCTCTGAAGGCTCTTGCTGGCTGTGGCTGGCTGAGGACGCTTCTCCTGGCCAGAACCCTCCAAGGGGCTGGCCATGGGTGGGCCTGAGTGTTCTTTGCCGAGATGAACTGGATCTGTCAAAGACACTTCCATGCAAATTTAGTGAGTGGAAGAGACCTCAGGCCTAATTTGTGCCAATTGGATTAAGGTGTGAGTGCAGTCTGATGACAAATACGCTCAAATGAGAATCAGCTTAATGTGGCTCAGGCCTGGTTCTGATTAAATTGTTTCTCCTTCAGCTGTTTGGAAACAGCGGCTAAAGGTCAATTTATTCTGGTGGTTGAAGGAGCCTCCGCTGTTTACCCGCCCTCCTTAGAGCCCACAGGCCCGAGCTGCTGCAGGAGAACGCGCTCGCCGCTGGCCACTGCCCCTCCCCAGGGCCTCTGGCTGGCCTGGAGTTGGGGTGGGTCTGAGTGCCCAGGGCTTTTGCTCCAGAGTGGGTTCCGGGAGGGGCGCAGGTGCTGGAAAACGATGCTGGCTGCAGGAAAGAACTCAGAAGATTGATCTTGGGCAGGGTCTTCAGGATCCGACCCTGCCCCATGTCCTCAGCCTCCTCCTTCCTCTGAGTCCCCTCCTTTCCCTGCAGAGCAGAGCCTGGGAGCTGGTGGGAGGGGGGTGCGCTGACAGCAGACCCCCAACGGCCTCTGACCCTGCCCCTGCCCTCTGTGCAGTTTGGCCTCTGGGCCTCATGGCTGGCCTGGCTGGCCATCACCACACTGGCCTTCCTGAAGGTGTACCACAACTACCGTCAGGAGGACCTGCTGGACAGCCTGATCCACGAGAAGGAGCTGCTGCTGGCCCGGCCGTCCCCACGCACCTCCTTCCAAGAGGAGAAGAGCGCCGTCATTTAGGCATGGCGCGGGCAGGGGAGCTGGCCCCTGACCTCCCAGCTATGCTTGGGGGCATGGGCCTGCCTGGGGAAGCAGCTGGGGGGCTCTGCCTGGGCCCTGGCCACATGCAGCCCTGTGTGTGTCCCCTCGAGCGTAGTGAGGTGAGCGCCCCAGTGCCCACTCGTGAGCCTAGCAGTGGACTGGGTGGGTGCTGGCTCCCTGATGAGGATGGTGCAGAGACTATGGGTGTGGGGCGGGGGGTGGGGGGCACCTCCAGGCCTCGCACAGGGCCCCATGGCTGTCCCAGTAGGACCTGACTGGCCAGCCTGGGTGGAGGGCGTCCAGCTGGTCTCTCCCAACCCTGGCCGGTTGCTGTCTCCGTGCCAGCTGGCCCAGGGGTGGCCAGACGTCACTCAGCCCTGAACGAATTCTGCATGAATTCTGCCATCCAGGCAGAGGCTACGTGTGGGGAGGAGCTCACGGCACCTTCCAGCCTCTGACCCTGGGTTGGCCCCCCCCCCGGCTGAGTCCCCCTCCTGGGTGGGTGCCACAGGCCTGGGAGACCCTGTGGCCGGGCTCAGGGAGGCTTCTGAGGCCTGTGAGTTCGCCTCACTGTGTGTGGGTCCTGTTTGTGCTTGGCTGAGGGGCACGGAGGTGGTAATCTGGGCTCCACAGAGTCAGGGGCATCATCTGGTTGGGGATTTGGGGGCACACTTACCACACAGAGGATTGGGCCAGGAGCCATGGCAGGGGTCTGTGTGTGGGTGTATATGGGGGATGTGATTCTGTGAGTGCCTTTGTGCATGGGAGGGTGTGATTGTGTATGTGAGTACATGAGAGGATGTGACTGTGAGTGTGCATGTGCACGTGTGACTGCATGTGTGGGTGTGACAGTGTAGGTGTGACTGTACATGGGAAGGTGTGACTGAGGGTGCATGGGAGGGTGTGAGTGTGCTTGAGTGTGCATGTGAGGGTGTGACTGAGTGTGCATGTGTGGGTGTGACTTGTGCATGTGAGGGTGTGACTGAGTGCATGTTAGGGTGTGACTGAGTATGTGAGGGTGTGACTGAGTTTGCATGTTAGGGTGTGACTGTATGTGAGGGTGTGACTGTTGTGCATGTGAGGGTGTGACTGCATGTGAGGGTGTGACTGTGAGTGTGCATGTGAGGGTGTGACTGTGAGTGTATGTGATGGTGGCTGGGTTGCATGTTAGAGATGTGGCCTTTGAGTGTATGTGAGGGTGTGACTGTTTGTGGATATGAGGTGTGACTGCATGTATGAGGTGTGACTTGTACATGAGGTGTGACTGCATGTGAGGGTGTGACTGAGTGTATGTGAGGGTGTAGCAGCTGAGTGTAGGGTGTGACTGCATGTGAGGTGTGGCCCCAGGTGTATGTGAGTGTGGCTATGTGAGGGTGTAGCTGCATGTGTGAGGGTGTGACTGTGGTGTATGTAGCGAGTGTGACTGCATGTGAGGGTGTGACTGCATGGCGAGGTGTGACTGAGTGTATGTGAGGGGGTGTGGCGGCTGCACAGGTGTAGCAGAAGTGTGACTGCATGTGAGGTGTGACTGAGTGTGCATGTGAGGTGTGAGTGTATGTGAGGGTGTGACTGACTGCATGAGAGTGTGACTACGCATGTAGTGTGACTGCATGAGAAGGCTGTGACTGTCTTGTGCATGTAGAAAGCAGTGTGAAGTGTGCATAGGGAGGCTGTGAGCAGCGGTATAGTGTGAGGTGGCTAGCCTGCCTGTGGCACTTGGGTGGCATGTAGGGCGTGTGGGAGAATGTAGGTGAGTGCCTGGAGGTGCCTGGGCTTGGAATTAATGTCTGCAGTGTGCGTGAGAACCGCATGTGAATGTCTCACGTGTGTTGCATGGCTGTGCTGTGCAGTGTGCTATGTATGTGTGAGCATTGTATGCGTGGTGAACCGTGGGTGCTGTGCTTAGACCCAGCCTCTGCCTCCCATGAGCTCCACATCCAGCATCCACCTGAGAGAGGAGAGGGCGCCTTCCCCGTCTGCAGAGTCTGAGCCGTGCTGAGGCCTCACCGAGAGGCAGTGGAGGAGCTGGGATGTGAACCTGGGATCCCAGGGTAGGGGCTGCTTGGCTGTGGACCCTACCCTCAGGAGAACCCAGGGTCTCACCTCTAGAGGACTCGTTCAGGCGGGGAGCCTCCTGCCCGGGGCTCGAGCGGCTGTCTGTTTCTTGGCAGGTGCTGCCGGGTGCTCCTGTTGCTGCGCCCTCCCTCCCAGGGAGACTCGAGCCCCTAGCTCCCTGTGTTGGTGACCCACCCCGTCCACCATCAGCAGCTGGCTGGTGTCTCTGGGTGGCTGGGCACCAGCCTCCTGAAACCGTGCCTGGAGTCCACATGGAGAGATTTGGTGGGGGCATCTGTCAGGTCGCGAGAGAGTGAGGCTGGCAGGTGACCAGTCCCCACTGGCAGGCAGGTTCCCATTGGGGGCGTCAAGGCCAGGGGGATCGAGGCTCTGGAAGCTCAAGGGGGCTGTGGCCTTGGGGCCAGCCGAGTTTCAGCTGGCAGCCAGTCCTTGAGAAGGGGTTTGGAGCAGAATCCGAGGCCCTAAGCTGATGGGCTTCCTGTCTCCCCTGCCAGCCTGACTCACTGAACCTGGGGATCTTTCCAGCCCCGAGGAAACTCCTTGTCTGTGTCCCCAGCAGAAGAGTGGGGTGGCTCCTGCCTCACCTCTGCCCAGCCCTGATCAGGCCAAGCCATCTAGGGCCCCAGAAGGAGGGGCGGAGGCAGGGGTGGTTCTGGAACCTGAGGGTTGGCTCCGGTTGGGTCTGTCCTCAGGGCTGCACTGCTGGATCCCAGGAGCTGGAACAGCCTGGCCAGGGTAATGATGCTTGGCTGCATGCAGACACACCCACCCCGGACACAGGCTGGAGCCCAGACACATCACCTGGGAAGGAAGCGCTGGGCGCCCTGGTTGTGGGACTCCAGGGTCCTTAGGGGACCTGGGCCTCTCCCCAGGAAGGAAGGTGGGAGCACAGGCATGACCTGGGGTTCCTGAGGCGAGTCCATGGGATTTATCCTGAGATGCCTTTGCTTCTCTCCCGGCTGTCTGATAATGGATATCTCTGTTCTAATTCCACTCTGGCTAAACTGAAAGTAAAGACCCTTAAGCTTACATGTGTCTACCCCTCAGAGTCAGAATAAAAACAAAAGCGCCTGAGTCTCAGCAGTGAACTGAGGGTGTGTACAGGTTTCTCTCTGCCCTCTCCGCCGTCGGCGGCCTAGCTCGAGTTTTAACTGTCTGGAATAGCCTGCAGAGGCACACGCAGTCCTCAGGCACCCAGGCCTTTCGTGTCCGAAGCTTTTAGGAATTAGAAGATGGCCTTCCCAAGGTTCTGCCGTCCTCTCTACATTTTCTAGTGGCTTTGGAGTCTCTCTGTGCTGCTTCCCCAGGTGGCAAGACAATTTTGAAGGATTTCTTGGGGGTGTGGTGCCCATCTTTTGAGCAATATTTGTTGAGCACACCTGAGATCTCAGTAGCGTAGGACCCGCAAAGCAAAATGTCCTTTGTGTTGCTTTGCAGTGGACAGGCAGCCACAGCTGAGGAGATCGGCCTGGGCGCGTCCCCCATCAAGACAGGGCTGGAGGGTGGCCCAAACACACAGAGAGAGGGCTGAGCCTGGGTCTATGACTGCCCTGAGACCCAACCTCTGGTAGCCGCTGCTTCTGCATCCAGAATATGGGGCAGGAACCTGCCCATCCTCCCCTCCTGGGTGGGGTGGGATGGCTGGGCCTGGGTGGGGTGGGGTGGGATGGGCTGCAGGCCTGGGTAGGTGGGGCTGTGGTGATGGGGAGAGCATGATGCTGGGAGGAGGTTCCCAGAGCCCCCACCATGGTCCCTTCTGGGCCACTTCTGGAAACAGCCCTTTTTGTTGCCTCCCACCACAACTCTGGGCTCCCTGGATTCCAAAGCTGGAGGCGACCTGGAGATCACTGCGCCTGTTCCCTGGCACCTGGGTTGTGAGGTCTGCACCCTGACTGCAGGAGTGAAGGAGCCAGCCGGGCATCCCCCTCAAGACCTGGGGCCAGTTAACCCCTGCCCAGTATGGCCACATCCACTCCCAGGCCTGCAGGAGACGAGGAGGTTCCAGGAGCAGGACATCCCTCTGTGCAGGCCCATTCCTTGCCAAATGGTTCTGGTTTCTCTTGTTTCTATAAAAAACACAAGACTGAAGCCACGGTGAGTTTTAATAGAGCAGTGTCTCCCAGTTAAGTGGTGGGACAGAGAGGAACCATCAGACAGGTCGTCTGTGTGCCCTTCCCTCTCAGGTGAGCCTCGAGGACACTGGTCTGATTATCCCTGTGTCTCTCAGGTAGTTCTGCCTGGTCCCTAACCGTGGGCATCCCTGCTTTGGTGCGGCCCTCCCCATGTAGGGTCTGGAGGGGCCCCTAGTGTTTGTCACCCACAGGGCTCCCTTCAGCTCTGCAATCTGGTGACAAAGCCACAACCACAGATGGTCTCATACAGGCCCCAGCTGGTGGGTGGCACTGGCTGGTCTGGGCTGGCTGGGTGCCCCCAGCCTGCAGAGCGCCTGGGCACAGATGGCTGTTCTGAAGGCCGGGGTGTCTGGGCCTTGCTGTCCCTCAGCTACACCCCGCGAAGCTGTCCCGATGAGTCTCCTGGGGCCTCTCCAGACTCATGGGACTGAAGTGAGGAGGTCAGACCTGAGCTCAGAGGATGGCACCTCACATCAGAGGGACCCACCTTGACAACCAAACCCTTCCTGTGGGGTTTCAAGGTCTGGGTTCTCCACAGGCCTAATTGCAAAAGGCTGGGTTTGCCTCTTCCACGAGCAGCCTTGAACACAGGCAGTGTGCCCCCTCATAGCGGGTGCACCTGCACGGCAGTAACTGAGCCGGGCCCTAGCAGCAGCAGGAGCTCACTGCTGGGACAAGGGGAGGGTCTTTGGGTGAGCCTAGGGAGCCCCAACAATCAGCAGTCGAATCCTCTTTCTAATAAAATCTCCCGTGGACCCTTTGGGAGACAGGGGGCTGTGCTGACTAGTGTGGCGGGGGCTGCTCTGTGCCCCCATGTCCAGTCTCACGCCATGGGTCCCACTTTTCCCAGTCGGCCCCCAGGCAGCAGCCCTTCTTGGCCCTCGTGATTCACCAAGCGCGAGGCCAGGGCTCAGGCTGTCTCAGAGCCCCAGTGCTTGAAAGGCTCTCTGGGAAGCCTCCACGTCCTGTCCATCAGAGCCGCAGGAGAGGCCGTGCCCAGCAGGTGAGGGCCGCGTGCCAGAGTGCAGGACAAGGCTGAGAGCCAGGCACTTGGAGTCCTCGAGTGCTGTTGCCACGGGCTTAGCCCGGCAGCAGTACAGGCCAGGGCCAGCACGGAGCGCACACGCACAGCGCAGGAGCAGGGGGCCGCTGTGGCGGTCTGCGAGGCACTGCGGCAGAGAGCCAGGCAGGGTCAGCGCCAGCCAGCCCCACCCTTCCCTGGAGGACTGGGGCTGGTGGGGAAGGATGGGAGATTTGAGGGTGTGACTGTGAGTGTGCATGTGAGGGTGTGACTGTGAGTGTATGTGATGGTGTGACTGAGTTTGCATGTTAGGATGTGACTGAGTGTATGTGAGGGTGTGACTGTTGTGGATGTGAGGGTGTGACTGCATGTGAGGGTGTGACTTGTACATGTGAGGGTGTGACTGCATGTGAGGGTGTGACTGTGAGTGTATGTAGCGAGTGTGACTGCATGTGAGGGTGTGACTGCATGGCGAGGTGTGACTGAGTGTATGTGAGGGGGTGTGGCGGCTGCACAGGTGTAGCAGAAGTGTGACTGCATGTGAGGTGTGACTGAGTGTGCATGTGAGGTGTGAGTGTATGTGAGGGTGTGACTGACTGCATGAGAGTGTGACTACGCATGTAGTGTGACTGCATGAGAAGGCTGTGACTGTCTTGTGCATGTAGAAAGCAGTGTGAAGTGTGCATAGGGAGGCTGTGAGCAGCGGTATAGTGTGAGGTGGCTAGCCTGCCTGTGGCACTTGGGTGGCATGTAGGGCGTGTGGGAGAATGTAGGTGAGTGCCTGGAGGTGCCTGGGCTTGGAATTAATGTCTGCAGTGTGCGTGAGAACCGCATGTGAATGTCTCACGTGTGTTGCATGGCTGTGCTGTGCAGTGTGCTATGTATGTGTGAGCATTGTATGCGTGGTGAACCGTGGGTGCTGTGCTTAGACCCAGCCTCTGCCTCCCATGAGCTCCACATCCAGCATCCACCTGAGAGAGGAGAGGGCTGAGTGTATGTGAGGGTGTGACTGCATGTGAGGGTGTGACTGAGTGTGCATGTGAGGGTGTGAGTGTATGTGAGGGTGTGACTGACTGCATGTGAGGGTGTGACTGCATGTGAGGGTGTGACTGTGAGTGTATGTGAGGGTGTGACTGCATGTGAGGGTGTGACTGCATGTGAGAGGCTGTGACTGTCGTGCATGTGAAGGCTTGATTGTGAGTGTGCATGGGAGGCTGTGAGTGAGTGCGTGTGAGGGTGTGACTGTACCTGTGGCATGAGTGTGCATGTAGGGCGTGTGGGGAGGAATGTAGGTGAGTGCCTGGGTGCCTGGGCAGGTGTGTCTGCACAGTGTGCGTGAGGAACCGCATGTGAATGTGCGTGTGTTGCATGTGAGCGTGTGCATGCCTGTGCGTGTGCATATGTGTGTGAGCATTGTATGCGTGATGGGAGCCGTGGGTGCTGTGTGGACAGCCCCTCTGCCCCTCCCATGGGCTCCCACATCCAGCATCCACCTGAGAGAGGAGGGAGCGCCTTCCCATTCTGCAGAGTCTGTGTGCTGAGGCCTCACAGAGGCAAGTGGAGGAGCTGGGATGTGAACCTGGGATCCCAGGGTAGGGGGCTGCTTGGCTGTGGACCCTACCCCTCAGGAGAACCCAGGGTCTATCTCTAGAGGACTCGTTCCAGGGGCGGGGGCCTCCTCACCCGGGGCTCGAGAAGCGGCTGTCTGTTTCTTGGCTTGAGTGCTGCCGAGTGCTCCCTGTTGCTGCGCCCTCCCTCCCAGGGAGACTCGAGCCCCTAGCTCCCTGTGTTGGTGACCCACCCCGTCCACCATCAGCAGCTGGCTGGTGTCTCTGGGTGGCTGGGCACCAGCCTCCTGGAGGCCACGTGCCTGGGTCCACATGGAGGGTCCCGGTGGGGGCATCATCCTGGGTCCCGCGAGTGAGGCTGGCAGGTGACCAGTCACACTGTGGCAAAGGCAGGTTCCCATTGGGGGCGTCAAGGCCAGGGGGATCGAGGCTCTGGAAGCTCAAGGGGGCTGTGGCCTTGGGGCCCAGCCGAGTTTCCAGCTGGCAGCCAGGTCCTTGAGGGAAGGGGTTTAGACAGAATCCGAGGCCCCTAAGCTGATGGGCTTCCCTGTCTCCCCTGCCAGCCCTGACTCACTGAACCTGGGGACTCTTTCCAGCCCCGAGAGCTCCTTGTCTGTGTCCCCAGCAGAAAGTGGGGTGGCTCCTGCCTCACCCTCTGCCCAGCCCTGATCCAGGCCAGAGCCATCTAGGGCCCCAGAAGGAGGGGCAGGAGGCAGGAGTGGTTCTGGAACCTGAGGGTTGGCTCCGGTTGGGTCTGTCCTCAGGGCTGCACTGCTGGATCCCAGGAGCTGGAACAGCCCTGTGGCCAGGGTGACGGAAATGCTTGGCTGCATGCAGACACACCCACCCCGGACTGGGCTGTCCCTGGAGCCCAGACACATCACCCTGGGAAGGGGCAGCTGGGCGCCCTGGTTGTGGGTTCTCCAGGGTCCCTTAGGGGACTGGGCCTCTCCCCAGGAAGGAAGGTGGGAAGCACAGGCATGACCTGGGGTTCCTGAGGCGGGTCCGCCAAGTTGCTTCTGAGATGCCTTCGCTTCTCTCCCGGCTGTCTGATAATGGATATCTCTGTTCTAATTCCACTCTGGCTAAACTGAAAGTAAAGACCCTTAAGCTTACATGTGTCTACCCCTCAGAGTCAGAATAAAAACAAAAGCGCCTGAGTGTCCAGCAGGCATGAGGAGTGTGTGGGTTTCTCTCTGCCCTCTCCGCCGTCGGCCGGCCTGGCTCCAGGTTTTAACTGTCTGGAATGTGTGGGGCACACGCAGTGCCCTCGGGCTTTGGGCCTTTCGTGTCCGAAGCTTTTAGGAATTAGAAGATGGCCTTCCCAAGGTTCTGCCGTCCTCTCTACATTTTCTAGTGGCTTTGAGTCTCACTGCTTCCTGTGCTGCTTCCCCAGGTGGCAAGACAATTTTGAAGGATTTCTTGGGGGTGTGGTGCCCATCTTTGAGCAATATTTGTTGAGCACCTGAGATCGTAGCGTAGGACCCCGCAAAGCCAGGCATGTCCTTGTGTTGCCTTTGCAGTGGACAGGCAGCCACAGCTGGGGGAGATCGGCCTGGGCGGCGTCCCCCATCAGAACCAGGGCTGGAGGGGTGGCCCAAACACACAGAGAGAGGGCTGAGCCTGGGTCTATGACTGCCCTGAGACCCAACCTCTGGTAGCCGCTGCTTCTGCATCCAGAATATGGGGCAGGAACCTGCCCATCCTCCTCCCTGGGTGGGGTGGGATGGGCTGGGCCTGGGTGGGGTGGGGTGGGATGGGCTGGGCCTGGGTAGGTGGGGCTGTGGTGACTGTGGGGAGAGCATGATGCTGGAGGGTTCCCAGGGGAGCCCCCACCATGGTCCCTTCTGGGCCACTTCTGGAAACAGCCCTTTTTGTTGCCTCCCACCACAACTCTGGGCTCCCTGGATTCCAAAGCTGGAAGCGACCCTGGAGATCACTGCGCCTGTTCCCTGGCACCTGGAGTTGTGGGGATACACCCTGACTGCAGGGTGAAGGGAGCCAGCCGGGCATCCCTCAAGACCTGGGGGCTTGGTTAACCCCCTGCCCGAGTGGCCACATCCACTCCCAGGCCTGCAGGAGACGAGGAGGTTCCAGGGGCCCAGGACATCCACTCTGGCCACTGAGGCCCATTCCTTAGCAAATCGGTTCTGGTTTCTCTTGTTTCTATAAAAACACCAAGACTGAAGGAAGCCACGGTGAGTTTTAATAGAGCAGTGTCTCCCAGTTAAGTGGTGGGACAGAGAGGAACCATCAGACAGGTCGTCAGCTGTGCCCTTCCCTCTCAGGTGAGCCTCGAGGACACTGGTCTAATTGTCCCTGTGTCTCTCCGGGGCAGTTCTGCCTGGTCCCTAACCGTGGGCATCCCTGCTTTGTTCGGCCCTCCCCCCATGTAGGGTCTGGAGGGGCCCCTAGTGTTTGTCACCCACAGGGCTCCCTTCAGCTCTGCAATCTGGTGACAAAGCCACAACCACAGATGGTCTCCGGGACCTACAGGCCCCAGCTGGTGGGTGGCACTGGCTGGTCCTGGGCTCGGCTGGGTGCCCCCAGCCTGCAGAGCTGGGCACAGATGGCTGTTCTGAAGGCCGGGGGTGTCTGGGCCCCTTGCTGTCCCCTCAACTTCTACACCCGAAGCTGTCCCCGATGAGGAGTCCTCCCCTGGGGCCTCTCCAGACTCATGGGACTGAGTAGGGGGTCAGACCTGGGCTCAGAGGATGGCACCTCACATCAGAGGGACCCACCTTGACAACCAAACCCTTCCTGTGGGGTTTCAAGGTCTGGGTTCTCCACAGGCCCTAATTGCAAAAGGCTGGGTTTGCCTCTTCCGAGCAGCCCCTTGAACACAGGCAGTGTGCCCCCCTCCTCAAGCGGGTGCACACGGCAATGGCTGGGCCGGGCCCTAGCAGCAGCAGGAGCTCCTGCTGGGACAAGGGAGGGGTCTTTGGGTGAGCCTAGGGAGCCCCAACTGTTAGCAGTCGAATCCTCTTTCTAATAAAATCTCACGTGGACCCAACACAGGAGACAGGAGGGCTGTGCTGACTAGTGTGGCAGGGCTGCTCACTGTGCCCCCCATGTCCAGTCTCACGCCATGGGTCCCACTTTTCCCAGTCGGCCCCCAGGCAGCAGCCCTTCTTGGCCCTCGTGATTCACCAAGCAGCAGGGCCAGGGCTCAGGCTGTCTCAGAGCCCCCGGAGTGCTTGAGCTCTCTGGGAAGCCCCGCCCGTCCTGCCCATCAGAGCCGCAGGAGGCCGTGCCAGCAGGTGAGGGCCGCGTGCTGCAGGTGCAGGACAAGGCTGAGGAGCCGGGCCTGAAGGTCCTCCAGTGCTGTTGCCACGGGCTTGGCCCGGCCGCAGTACAGGCCCAGGGCCAGCACGAGAAGGACGCACACGCACAGCCGCAGGAGCAGGGAGCCGCTGTGTGGCCTGGGCCTGCCGGGCACTGCGGCCAGAGGGCAGGCAGGGTCAGCGCCAGCCAGCCCCACCCTTCCCTGGAGGACTGGGGCTGGTGGGGAAGGGATGGGGAGATTCCGCCCTATCCCTGCCCATGGCCCCTCCCTAGCCTCGTGGGGCCTCCTTGCAACAAGAGCCCCCCCACTGGGGACTCCTCAGAGGCCCTGGCCCTGTGACACCTCCCTTGGGGAGGGAGTGAGGGTGGGTGTACCGAAGGAGGGGGCAGTGGGGTACAGGGATGTGGGCTCGGAACTCACCCCTAACAGTGGCCGTGGTGTTCCTGTCAGCAATGTCTGGGAAGGAGAACGGAGAGTCGGCTGGGAGGTACTTGCCTCAGTCCATCTGGTGTCCCTGCCCTCTCGCCTCACCCTGCACCCCTGAAGGACCCCTGAGATGATTCATGGGTTAGAGATCCAGGCCCCGCCAGGTCCTGACGCTTCCTCAAGAGGACAGTCATGATTCGAGAAGCCACCATCATGTTTTCCTCCAGTTGCCGTTTGACGGACCAGGACTGTGTGTCCAGGTGACCCCACGGGCCCAGGGGTTCTGCCACTGAAGACAGGCGGCCATGGCCCCCCATGTCCTGGGCCCTACCAGAGCTGGGTGGGTGTGGCCGGAGTCCCCGCCTCCCTCTGCCCAACCCCATCCTCTCCAGCCGCTTGCTGCGGGTGCCCTCTTACAGTGGACAGTCACCGCTGGGGGTTCTTGGAACCGCACACGCCTCGAGGTCCTCTGCAGCTCGGCCCCTGGGCGGGGATGCTCCTGCCGGCTCCTTTTCAGGATGGAGGGGGGGCACTTCTTGTCCTCCTGGGACAGGGGCGGAAAGCAGATCGGTGAGTCCCTGGCAGGAGGCCGACGGGGACCCAGGTCTGAGCCATGTGGGGCCCAGCAGCACCGTCCTGGAACCTGTACCCTGTCCCGGCTGGTGTGTGATGCTGGGCCTGTCACTTCCTGTGGGGTGAGGGGCAGCTCCTGGACAGGCACTGCTGGGCAGCCAGACTCAGCCTCAGGGGCCCAGGCAAGACAGGAGCCCCTCCTGCCCCCGTCTCTTCACGCAAGGCCCCACTGAGCCTCTCTTCCTCTGCCCGCTGTCTTGGATTCAGGCTCGGATTCAGGGTCCCCAGGACATGTGCACAGCAGGAGGGGGCTGCATCGGCAGAGGGGCTCTGGCTAAGAGGCCAGAGTTTGCAAGCTCCATGGGGCAGGGGCCGGGCCAGGGCTGTGAGGAGGGCTGGTTGGTGGCCTCGGCCTCCTTTTCCCTGGGGCCAAGTCTAGCGTGCTGCAGGCAGGGGCAGCTCCTGCCCATTCGCCTACCTGGGCCCTTCTGTGCAGGTCTGCTCACGTGTACGGGCCCAGCCTGAGTTTGGAAGATGGAGCAGGAGTTTCAGGCTGCTGTGAACCTCAGCATCCTTGTCTGTGACATGGTGATAACTGGGACTGAGGCGCCCTGGGAGCCGGGCCAGCTCTGAGGTTGTTCCTGGCTGGGTCATTGCTCGCTGCACACAGCCAGCTGCTTGGCATCTGGCGAGGCTGCCCCTCGAGGGCGGGAGGTCTGTCCATGCTGAGTCTGGCCCAGCTCCTGCTGTGCCTGTGGCCTGTCCCAGCCTGGCAGTGCCTCAGAGGCTGGATGGAGCCCCAGGGTCTGAGGTCTGGGCCCCTAACCCTAACGCTGACCCTTGGTGACAGTCTTGATCTGTCCTCCTCTCTCCACCCTCTTCTTTCCTCCAACACCCTCCTCCCCAGGCTGCCTCTTCCACAGCCCTCCATGACTCCCACTTCCTCTGCCAAGCGGTGTGCCCCACCTGGGGGCCTCCAACCCCGTCTGCCAGACCAAACCCTTTAAGGCACCCGTTGCCCCCGCCTGCTCCCTCCAGCCCTCAGTGATCCCCCTGCTCTCCTCCCATCACCCCTTGATTCCTGGGGCAGAGGATGGCCTTTCCTCCTTTGTCTGCTCCCTGCTCCCTCCAGCCCCCAGTGGAAGGCCAGCTTGCAGAACCTGCGTCCCAGTGGCCCACCTTACCCTCTCTGCCCTGCATGCCCGTGGGCCCCACGCGGCCTCCTCATTCTTTCTGGTCTGATGTCGTGTCTCTGGCCGGGAGTCAGGGCTCAAGGCTCCTGCTGCAGTCCTCATTTACTGGAACATGGTCCTAAGATGAGCAAAGATGTTATTTATTATTTACTGCACAAGTGGCACTCAGAGGAATGAAAGTAAGAGCAGAAAATTCTTCCCCGGAAGCCAGGCTGGCTGCCCGCGCCTTCGGCCGGCCACGCTGACGAGTAGACAGCCCTTTCCCTCAGTGGTGTCCCCAGCGCAGATAAATCCTGCTGCCTGCTCGTTCAGAAACGCCATCGCAAGCAATTTCCTTTGCTGCCACAGTCTTCGTAATTGTCATCTTTAACGGCTGCATAATATTCCACTGGGCCGCATAATATTCCATGGGGCCGAGGTCCCATCATTGAAAGTCGCCCTCGATGATTGGGTATTCAGGAAGTTTGCATTTTAGTATTGTCATTTGCAATGATTGGAGGTCATGGATAAGGCTGTAGGAAACATCTTCGCTTTGTCTCCTTTTGGTAGTGGGAAGCCCTGGGGCTGGGGACTGGGAATTGTCAGGGCTCTGAGGCTGGGCCCACAGAAAGGCTTCCCAGATGGTCATGCCTACCTTTTTGGGCTGGTGCTGGTGGGATGCCCCTGGGCTCCTGGGGGCCCACCCCTCAGCACGGCTCATACTCTCTCTGTGTCTCTGTCCGCCCTCCCCCCCATTATGTGTCTCTGTCTCTCTGTCTCCATCTCTCTGTTCCCCTGCCTCTCTCTGATTCTGTCTCTATCTTTCTATGTCTCTGTCTCTGTCTCCATCTCTTAGTCTCCCTGCCTCTCTCTGATTCTGTCTCTCTCTACTTCTGTCTCTGTCTCTCTGCCCCCTCCTCTGTTGAGCTGGTTGCTTCCTGGCTGTGAATGGCGCCTCCTTGCCTCTGCCCCTGTGTCTGTGGCGGCGGAGGCTTCGCTCTCCTCATTCTTGCTCATTGGTGGAGCCCCGAGTGTGGATTTTCTCTCACAGCCTTGGCGGGTTCTTGACTTTCGGGCATTCCTCCTCCCTACAGAGGGGTGCAGAGCCTACCGGGCATCCGTGCAGGTGAGCTGGCACTGAGTGTCTGTCTTTCAAGGGCTCTGGGAGTGATGAGACTGCCTCTGTTGCTGCAGGTGGTGAAACTGAGGCCAGAGGGGGCTGGGGCTTCCCTGGGAGCTGATGCCAGGCCAGGTCCTCCCGGCCCTGCTCCCAGCTGGATAGGGGGCAGTGTGGGGGCCTCCTGCTGCCCTTCACCCCACCCCAGGTTCTCCTCTGCTCTGGGGTCGTTGGAGGGCACTGCCGCCCCTGCCCCTGATAGCGCAGGTGTTCGCATTTCCTGAGGTGCTTCCCTGGCTCCCGTTGGTCCTCCAAGGACCCTGCCCCCAAGGGCTGAGAAGGGGGAGGGCGAGAGTGAGGGGCCTACATGGTCCTCAAGGACAACTCCTCCAAGGGTCCCCCAAAGGGGTGGGTGCCTCAGAGGTGCAGGGCAGGCCTATGGGAGGAGCTGGTTTGGGTGGAGACCCAGGGACTCCAGCAACTGTGTGCCGGCCTCTACAGGAGACAACAGGGTGGCCACGACCGCATCCCCGAGCCGGCATAAATACTGCAGACAAGCAGAGCGCCCTGTTAACGATGTCTGGGAGGATGCTGTCTGGATGGGTTCAATTATTTCAAAAGAGAGCAATTTTCTGCTATCGCAGGATCAGGTTTTTATTGCAAATAGGGTTGTGGCAGGAGCCGGCCGTCCGGGGGTGGCAGGGAGGGGCGGCTCATCTTCAGGACCTGCTCTCAGAGAGTGGCCGTGGGAGAGGGTGTGCTCGCAGGCCCAGTCGAGCTGGGGCTCCGTCTCCTGGGGCCAGGTCACCTGGAATGTGGGCGCTGCGTGGTCCCCAGGGTTAGGGAAGCCGCAGAGTGCCAGGCCTGTCCTGCTGTTTTGGGGATGCTGCCTGGCATGCCCCAAGGGCAACCTTGACCGCCTGTCCATAGCAGGGCTGGGGCTGGAAGGGCTCTCTGGATGCCCTTGACTCAGTTTCCACCCTGGGTGGGACAGAAACTCTGCTAAAGCCCAGGGGTGGGGTTGGGGGTGGAGCAGAGCCCCCCAGTGACCTCTTGGACCCAGAGCCTGGGCTGTCCACTGCCTGGCGGAGGGAGGCTTGTGTATCCGGGGCCATCTCCTGGGACTGCACAGCCTGGGGCTGGCTGGTGTGCCCGGGGCCACAGCCCCCTTGCCAGACGGCCCTGCAGCAGCCTTCCAGGGGGCCCAGCCAGGCCACCTCTCATGAGGAAACAGGCCTGGAGAGGCTTGGGCCAACGGAGTCACGCCGGGAGGCAGGGCTGGACGGAGTCTCCCCCAGCTTCTGCCAGCAGCTGTCGCTATTCAGCCTTCCCTGGCCTGAGGTCTGTCCAAGGGATGGTGGGACAATAATGTGTGTGTGCACACGTGTGTGAGTGAGTGTGCACATGTGTGTATGTCCCTGAGTGTGCAAGTGTGTTTGCATGCAATGGAGTGCATATGCATGTGTGAATGTGCACATGTGTGAGTGTGCAAGTGTGTTTGCATGCAATGGAGTGCATATGCATGTGTGAATGTGCACATGTGTGAGTGCGCAAGTGTGAGAGTGAGCACGTGTGTCAGAGGGTGTGAGTGTGCACCTGTGGGGTGTCTGTGTGTGTGTGTGCATATGTGTACTTGTATTTGTGTGTATGCATGTGAATGTGCATGTGTGTGTGAGTGCGTGTGTGGGTGTCCATTCATGTGCCCGTGTGCATGTGTGTGAACATATCTGCATATGTGTGGGTGAATGT